TTTTTTTTTTTTTTTTTTTTTTTTTTTTTTTTTTTTTTTTTTTTTTCTGAATAGGATTTAAAAATAGTTAAAATAAATAGTCAGAACCCCCTTGCCAGTGTGATTATTTCCTCCAGGCACATCTCCCTACAGGAAGGGTCCATGGGCACTGAAATCCCGTGGAAACAAACTGTCCTGGAGAAGTGCAAGCCATAAATAACTCCAGGGCTCCAAAGCCTTTTTTCCCTGCTGAACGGCTGCTGGCAGCCCCAGCTCTTCCACTATTTCTCTTCTACTTTTAGGAAATCCAAGGAAATCCATCCAGCCCCTCCCTGCCCTGATGGCCACCAGAAGCTGCTGGAGAGAAGAATGGGACACTGACCTTGAAATAATCAGGGTAGAATGATCACAGCACCTTTTTCTGCAGAACTGAGGGGATTTTTTAAAATGTAAAATCACGATTTCCTCACCAATTAGTTGCTACAACAGGATAAAGCCTGGCTTAGGGCTCAGCTCCACACACAATAACAAATGAATGTTTGCTTGAGCTGCAAAAAGAGAAGACAAACAAGCTCCATCTGACCTCAGAGCTGTCAGGCTCTGAAAGCATGTCCACACCCTCCAGGGAATTAAAATCACAGGGAAGCATTCCAGAACCTGCCTACCTGCACCAACACATACACACACACCTTTGTGCTTTTATAGAGAGATTTTTTCAGACAGAAATGGTATCAAACGGGTCCAAAATGGTTACAGTGAATTTAACTGTGATGATTCGGATAGAGAGGGAAATCAAATCGACATCCAAACCAGAAATATTTAATTGAAAAGAAAAATATGCATTTCTAACCAGTACATGGGGCTGTTTCCTCATCAGTGCATGGTCAGGCTGTAGTTTTACATCTGAATCCTTCTCCCAACTTTACTGCATCTAGAAAGAAAAACAGAATTGTGAATAGTGTAATGGCATGTTATATGTTGAATTTATCTAAAACCAGCACCTTTATCAGTACAATTCCTTTGCTTTATTTTTTTTTCCCTGTATGCTGAGTTTCTGTCTGATCTCATTCTCCTTGCCCTTCATTTACCTGGAAAAGGAAAGGTTTTTCCATATTTGAATAACAGAAGCAACACCCCATGGAATAGAGGGAAAAATGGGCTGAAGTGAGAAGATCTGATTTTTATTCTAAACCTGGTTTGTGGCCCTGGAAAGAGGCACTTTTCTGTGCATTTCCCCTCTCTTCCTTTGCCTTTCTTGTCTGCTTACATTACAAGCTCTCTGAAGTCTCTTAGGTGTTTATACAGCACCAAACAGATAAGATTCAGCTTTCCTCAGAATCACAAGATAACACAAACCCAGAAACAATAAATCTTATCAATCACCACCTACATTATTGCTCTCCTAACATGAGACACGTTTCAAAGTGATTTTCAATAGTTACTTTCCTTTAAAGGAAAAGAAACAGAAAAAGGCTCGTGGAAGAAAAGCACATCCAAGAGGAAACAGATCCCTTAAGTGTTTTTTGTTTTTTTGTTTTTGTTTTTTTTTTTTTCCAAAACATTCTACCTGTTTTAAACACATTGACCAAAAGCTGCATTTCTGTATCTTTACTGCAAGGACAGGACACACCTCTGCCACTGACCTTGGTATTCCCATCTAGAGCTGGGTCACAGGATGCTCCACAGTGTGCTGGGAGCAGCAAAAGCCTGGAAAAGACTTTGGAGCTCTAATCCCACTTTTCCTGCTCTCCCAAATGTTACAACCCACACAGTGCAAGCACCAGACCAATTCCTGTGTCACCCATGAGCAAAAGAAGCATACAGGCACCATTCTGGTCTGGTTTTACCTCTGTGGGTCACCTTTAAAAATTATTTTCTTACCAGCTTCTCCATGTGAATGACAAGATATTCAGAGATGTCTTGAGGGAGAAGTAGTGAGAAAGAGGAATTCAGCTAACCTATTTTCTTTCTTGTCACTACTTGATAATCTCTTTATCTGCTCTCATCTCACCAGGTGCAGACAGAGTTATTTCCCCATGGACAGGGCCAATCCCCCTCCCAAAGTGCCCACGTGCACCTGGACTTCCTTTCCCAGAGCGTTTCAAATTTATATTGCAAAGTGTCCCTGATCTTTTGGGGTAAGCAGAGCCAACTTCAGATGTAAACATATAAAATGTCAGTGCTTCTTGCCACACACATCTTTAGCCTTTCAGGGAGTTTCTGTGGCCATGGGCACACAGAGAACATTTATAAGAATCTCCCCATCAATAGAAGTTTGCAGTTTCACTGAAACACAACTCACTAGCACATATATATATTTAGAGTTTGACCCCTCTGTGGATAAATTATGGTTTTGTGTGAACAGAAGACATTTTCTAAAACTCTGTGGTGATTTAGGAACCCCAGTTCTACTTTCAGCTGCACCTTAATCCTTCTTGACTTCTATTGAGGCTTTGGCTGAGCAATGTTTGCTCTCCTGCTGGCACTGCGGTGCCTTTCAGAGAGCCTCCACCTCCCCAGAGCAATGTGACTGCAATTTGTAATGCCAAATGCAAATCTCCTCAGCCACAGCCCGTGCCAGCTGGGCTGTGCCAGCCTGGTCCAAGCTCTGCAAGACATGCCTGGGCTGGAAAAGAGAGCAAACCCCAGGCCAGCCTCACACAGATTCACCAGGGCTGCAAAGCAGAGTGGAAAAATCCTTCTGCCACAAACCAGGGCAGAACAGGCGATTTCCAGGATTTCAGTTTAGCACAGGGCTGGGTTCAGGGAGTTCAAGACAAGATGCTGTTATTACCTCAGGTCCAGACTTCTGCCATTACACTGCCCCCACTTAGCTCTGTGTTAAGCCAATTCTCCTGCAATTGAGTCAAAGCTCTCCTCCAAATAAAAAAAAATCACCTGTTTATTTAGAGACAAGGGAGGAAAAAGAAGAAATCCAACACTATTTCAGCCCGAGATTCTAAGGGAGGAGGAAATGATGATTTATGTCTCTCCCCCCTCCTATTTTTTAATCTCTCTCAGAAATCACAGCAGAGAACAGTAACTCAAATGCTTTATAGCTGAATTCATTTTTATCAGCTGTCTCCTCTCTTTACCAGCTGTTTGTCTGCTTCTCCCATTTATGCTGTGCATCTTGGACTTATCGATCTTGTAAGCTTTAAATTACAGCTATCCACGGAAAAAAAAAAAAAAAAGGCAAGAGGCAAACCACAACAGGAAAAACCAGGCCTGATAAAGGATTTCTGAAGGTCTGGTCACTTTTGCTAAAAGAAAATCTTAATGGCATTTCCTGGAGAGAAGGTCTGTGGGGCTGAAGTTATTAGTGGAGAGAACACAGGCAAAAAAAAAAAAATGTTGTCAGATTGAAGGGTTTATATCAAAAATACTTCCAGTGAAAAGTGTAGGAAAACTTGGGGGATAAAAAAACAAGATTTATACAAGTATCAATCAGCTGATTTATAGCACTGGGTTTATTAGAGCCAGCCAATTTATAGCAGTTCTTGTGGTTTCAGGATGAGTTTAAGAAAGAAGAACTCACTGCTCCCCAAAACCACTGGAAATATTTCCCATGACAAAGGCAGAGCAGGGGCAGAGCTGATTTCTGAGCTCAGTGCACTCGCTGCAGCCTCAGCTCACAGCCTGCTCAGGGGCTCCCTGCAGGCTTCTGGGGCTGCCAGAGAATCGTGGAGGCACAGAATGCTTGAATCAGACCTTAAAATCATTTAATTCCAACCCTCCTTCCATGGGCAGGGACAGCTTCCACTGCCGTCCTTAAAGAGATCCATGAATCCAATACTGCTGCAGTGAGGCTGCAATTCCCCAGGATAGTTTATCCAGTGTTTTGTCCAAGACTCTTCTATAACATGAAGGAAAAATTAAGATTCAGAAGCCTTTGTTCCAGGTGTTCCCACCGGGGGTGATGCTGTAAGGAAGGGAAAAGGGAAGGGGAAAGGGAAAAGTGTAAAAAAGGGAAAAGGGGGAAAAAATGGGAAAAAAGGGTAAAAAAAGGGGGAAAAGGGAAAAAAGGAGGAAAAGGGGGAAAAGGGGAGGAAAGGGGGAAAAAGGGGGAAAAAGGGGAAAAAAGGGAAAAAAGGCAAAAAGGGGAAAAAAAGGGGGGAATAGAGGGGAAAAGGGGGGGAAAACGGGGGAAAGGGGGAGAAAAAGGGAAAAAGACCAAAAGGCAACTGAAAGCAGAGGCGAAGGCGAAGCAGCCCCGGAGCCGAGGCCCCCCCGGCCCCCCCGGCTCCGGCCGGGCTCAGGCGGCCGCTCCCGACGGCTCCGGAGGCACCGGGACCGCGGCGAGACCTGCGGGACACGGGGACACTGAGGGGACACCCAGGGGACACGGGGACACTGAGGGGACACAGGGACAGCACCGAGACCTGCGGGACACGGGGACACTGAGGGGACACCCAGGGGACATGGGGACACCCAGGGGACATGGGGACACTGAGGGGACATGGGGATACTGAGGGGACATGGGGACACTGAGGGGACATGGGGATACTGAGGGGACATGGGGACACTGNTCCTGTGGAACAACAAGGCACAGCCAGCTCTGGCTGGGCTCTCTGGCAGCAGCAAGTTCCTTAAGTTTAAAAATCAACCATGGGGTTTATTTCACTGAGGAATAAGAGAAATCAGGTCTGTCTTAATGAGAAACCTGTCTCCAGTCTGCAGTGAAAACGTAGCCTGTCGGATTTTCATGCCTTGGGTACAAGGGAAAAATCCCTTCCTGATTGGGATTTCTGACTGTCCTGGAAACCTTGTGGCCTGAATCAAAGTGAGGTTCCCAGGTATGATAAATCTGCTGGGATTTTTAAAGCCAAGAAATGAAAATAGAATCTTTCCCTCGGTGGGTATGGGCAAAGTGTCTGCATGTCTGGGTTCCTGCAGAAGCATTTTATTGTTCTGATGTCCCACAAGGACTCCTGCCTGGCAGTGAGCTCTGCGTGGCACAGCAAGGGGAGAGGCAGCAGGGCACAGAGGTGCCCTGGGGACATCCCTGATCCCCATGTCCTGCTGGGGCTGCTCGGTATCTGAGCAGAAGCAGGAGCAGGGCTGGCATCACCCACTGCCTCTGGCCATGCCACAGATGGCACCAGCAGCTTCCCAGGCTCCTGCACCTCCGGCTGGCACAGGAGGAGCAAACAAAGAGGGATGAGCAGCCCCTGCTGCAATGTGACCTTCACATTCCATCCGTGCATTGCTCCTCAACACAGACACAAATGACAAAGTCAAAACCTGCCACTCAGGCTCAGATAATGTTCTGGAAATGACAAATAAATATTTAAATGTTACTTGTGCTGTGCCTGCTGCAGATCCCTGAAGAACAGAGGAAGGTAATCCACAGATTTGTCCTGGAGAACTTGAGAAAGAAGAATGGCATCAAAGGAGAGGAATTCTGGCCAGGATGGAGCTTTGGCACTGCTCTGGCTGCTCCTGAAGCCAACCTGCTCCCCCAGCACTGCTCTGTACATCCAACCTGCCTTGACTGCTCTCAGGGCACACACCAAGGCTGATCCTATTTCAGGGAGGTGTGGGTGGCAAAGGGATGAAAGGACCTGTGACATTCCCATTCTCTGGACAGAGAGACATAATTCTGTCTCTCAGGAGAAGCACAGACAGAAAGAAGAAGAAGAAACAATCTTTATCTCTGCTCCTTTGTTCTCCCCATATGGAATGTGGTGTGGGGATTGTTCACCTGCAGTGATGGCTGGGCTGGATTCTGGTGAAGTTGTTTGGGGTCAGTGACCAATGGACCCAGCTCTGTTGGGCTCTCAGCAGAGTCAGGGGTTTGAGTTAGGTAAGTAAGAAGTGAGTATGGAGAATAGGATAGTATCTATTTAAATAGTATATTAATGTGATATAGTTTTAATAAAGCTATCCTTCAGCCTCCTGATCTGGAGCCAGATATCATAATTTCTTCCC